TGCTCTTTTTTTTTTTAAGTTAAAAAAATTTTTTTTTGTTTTAAGTTTATTTTTATTCATTTTGAGAGGAAGAGAGCGAGAGAGCAGGGGAGGGGCAGAGAGAGGGGAGAGAAAGAATCCCAAGCAGGCTCTGCACTGTCAGCGCAGAGCCCAACTTGAGGCTCTATCCCACAAACCTTGAGATCATGACCTGAGCCAAAATCAAGGGTCAGACGCTAAACCAACTGAGCCACCCAGGAGCCCCACCCCTCTGCGTTCCTTGTCTCTATCCTCCACACTTGTCCCTGACCCACATTCCACTGTGGCACTAAGTCCTTGTTCTCTTTGGCCCACCTCTGGCCATACTGAAGCTCAGTACTGCTCATAACTTTGGCTCACTCCAGTGTTCTGCTCAGATTTCAGACCTGACAGCAAGTCAGACCCCAATCCCCCAAGAAGCCTTGGTCATCCAACTGTCCTCAGTACTGATGCTCCCTCTCCAGTGGCTTTGGGTGGTGTGAATACTCCTGGAAAGCATCAAGCCCCTTCCTCTGGGCCTAGAGGGGAGAATCTGAATACGCCATGGTAAACATGCCCTAGGGGCTCCTGGCAGAGGGTAGAGCTCTGCAGAACTCATATGGCCAGCTTGCTCCCCATACACCCATTTCCCTTTCAGTGCTCAGAGAACAGGAGGTGCCTGGAGAGAGATAGATGGTAAGATTCTTCTTGGAAAGGTAGGAACTGGCTTGGAGAAATTCTAGTTCTGGGAGTTTTGGAGATTGCTTCACAAGGGGCAGAGGAGGAGAGGGGTAAGGGACTGAGCAGCTTCACCCAAAGAAAGGAATCAATCATTAATCAAGCATAGTAAACCTATCTTGGGGGTCCAGACCAGGAGGGTTACAACTGGGAAGGGTTGAGGGGAAGCAAGAAGCTTGACTGGGACCTGGTTTATCTCTCTCTTCATCTGTGAAGAAGGGATGTCTCTCATACCCTCACTTAGCTCCCATCTGATTCTATACCTCACAGAGACAAAGACAGATCTAGATCTCCATTGATCCAACATATATTTACCAAGCAGCTACTTTGTGCAAGACATTGTTGGAAATAGGAGTAAATAAAACAAAGTCTTTATTATAATGGTATAATTCCAGTGGGGAAATACATAATGTATCAGATGGTGATAATTAAAATGGGGAAAAATAAATCTGGGTTGAGGGGAATAGAAAGAGATGGATGGATGTTATGTATTCATAGTAAAATACACTCAAACTTAATAAGCTTAAAACAACATTTATTTTCTCACAATTCTGTGGATCAGGAATTTGATAGTGGCTTAGTTGGATGGTTCTGGCTCACTGCCTCTCATGAGGTTGTAGTATAAATGTTGGCTGTAGCTACAGTCACATGAAGGCTTGACTGGGACTGGAGGATCCACTTCCAAGATGACTCACTCACATGGCTGTTGGTAGGAGGCTGTTCTCCCCAGGTGGACCTCTCCATAGGAAAGGATCTCCTGCCTGAGGGTCCTCCCTACATGGCAGTTGGTTTCTCCCAGAGAGAGTGACCCAAGAGAGACCAAAGGAGGCAGCAATGCTTTTTTGGTCTAGTCTTAGAAATTACATAGTCACTTCTGCCATGTATTTGTTAAAATTACATGAATATCCAACCCACATTCAAGGGGAAGGGAATTAGTCTTCACTTCTTAAGGGAGATATATACTTTTTTTTAATTTTAAAAAATGTTTGTTTATTTATTTATTTAGAGAGAGAGCAAGTGAGGGGAGAGGCAGAGACAGAGGGAGAGAGGGAATCCCAAGTGGGCTCTGCGCTGTTAGGTCACGAGATCATGACCTGAGCCCTTATCAAGAGCTGGACACTTAACTGACTGGGCCACCCAAGCATCCCAAGGATTATCAAAAATTTTATGGAGTTATTTTAAAACCACCACAGAAGGAGGGGGTGTGGCTGGCTGGTTCAGTTGGTAGAGCATGTGACTCTTGATCTCAGGGTTGTGAATTTGATCCCCACATTGGGCATGGAACCTACCTAAACACACACACACACACACACACACACACAGAGAGAGAGAGAGAGAGAGAGAGAGAGAGAGAGAGAGAGAGAGGGAGGGAGGCTGCTATTACAGAAATGTTAGGGGAAGAAGCAAGAATTGAAGGAGGGGAGGAAGAGAGCCATAGGAATACCTAGGGAAGAGCTCTGCAGCCAGAATAGCAGGTACGAACATCCTGGAATGGAAGTTTGCTTGATGTGTCAGAAGGAAAGCAAGGAAGCCACTGAGCTAAATTGGGGTAGCTGGGGTAAATGGTTGGATGTTTGGTCCATAGGTAACAAGGGCCTTGGGAGTAGGTTCCTGGAGGCAGTGAAAGGACTAAATGAGATGGAAACCATTGAAAACGTCTGAGCAAAGGAAACAAAACAAAACAAAACAACAAAGAAATGTCTGAGCAGAAAGTAGAAGTCTTGACTCTGGCTACTGTGTAGAGAATCCTCCACACAGGATATAAGCATGAAGATCATTTAGGAGGCTATTGCAGTAATCCAGGCAAGTGATGATGGCTTGGACCAGGTGGTAGCAATGGAAGTGTTAAGACATAGGTAGATTCTGGATATGTTTTTAAGATAAAACTGACAGGATCTGTTGATGGCTTGGATTCTCATTCTCATTCTTTCGATGTGAGAATGAAAGATATCCAAGATGGGGAGCCTGGCTTGTGTACTTTTACTTAAAAATAAAATCTCAAAAAAAGAAAGGTATCTATGATGACTCCAAGGTTTTTGGCAGCTGAGTAAATGTAGGTACCTTTAACTCAGACAGTAAAGACTGTAAGATGTGTTGGTTTGGGAGAGAAATCAGTTTGCGTGGCCATTTTAAGTTTGAGATGCCAATTAGACAGGGGAGAGGGAGGCAGTCAGATATCTGAATCTGGTGCTGAAAGGTTTAGGCTAAGATAAAAAACTAGGAGTCAAGGGGTGCCTGGGTGGCTCAGTCGGTTGAGTGTCCGACTTTGGCTCAGGTCATGATCTCAGTTTGTGAGTTTGAGCCCCACATCGGGCCCTGTACTGACAGCTCAGAGCCTGAAGCCTGCTTCAGATTCTGTGTCTCCCTTTCTTTCTGCCCCTCCCCTGCTCGCTGTCTGTCTCTCTCTCTCAAAATAAATAAACATTAAAAAGCTAAAAAAAACCCAAACAAACTAGGATTCAAGATGTACAGATGGTCCTTGAGGTCCATCCATGTTGTTGTAAGTGGTAGGGTTTCCTTTTTTATGGTTGCATGATATCCCAGCACATGTATGTATGTACTTTTTTTTTTTAATCCATTCATCCTTGTGGACATTATGCTAAGTGAAGCAAGTCAAGATGAAGACAAAATACTGTATGTTCTCACTTATATGTGAAATCTAAAAAAACCCCAAACTCATAGAAATAGAGAACAGATTAAGAGTTGCCAGAGGCAGGGGGTATGGGCAGGTAGAGGTGGAATGGAGGAATGAGAAAGGTGGCCAAGGGGCATAAACTTCCAGTTATAAATAAGTCCTGGGGATGTAATGTGAAGCTTAGTGCTCTTATACTATATTAGTAGTATATTAGTACATTAAATACTATATTGTAGGGGCGCCTGGGTGGCGCAGTCGGTTAAGCGTCCGATTTCAGCCAGGTCACGATCTCGCGGTCCGTGAGTTCGAGCCCCGCGTCGGGCTCTGGGCTGATGGCTCGGAGCCTGGAGCCTGTTTCCGATTCTGTGTCTCCCTCTCTCTCTGCCCCTCCCCCGTTCATGCTCTGTTTCTCTCTGTCCCACAAATAAATAAACGTTGAAAAAAAAAAATTAAAAATAAATAAATAAATAAATACTATATTGTACTTTGGAAAGTTGTTAAGAGAGATCTTTAAAGTTCTCATCTCAAGAAAAAAAGAATCTGTAACTATGTGAGGTGATGGATGTTAACTTATTGTGGTAATCATTTCACCATACATAGATCAAATCATTATATTGTACACCTTTAAGTAATTTATGTTATACTAACTATATTTCAATAAAACTTTTTTATTATTGAGGGACAGAGAAAGACAGAGCATGAGCAGGGGAGGGGCAGAAAAATAGGGAGACTCAGAATCCAAGCTCCAGGCTGACAGTAGAGAGCCGGATGTGAGGCTCGAACCCATGAACTGTTGAGATCATGACCCGAGCTGAAGTCAGATGCTAACCAACTGAGCCACCCAGGTACCCCTCAATAAAACTATTTTCAAAAAAGGCACATAGATGGTATTTAAAGTCATGAATGGTTAAGAACTCCTGGGAAGGGTATAGACAGAGAAGTTTGAGAATTAAATCTTGGGAAGTCAAAGGCTGGAGATAAGAAAGATCAAGCAAAGGAGG